TTTGGTAAAAAATACTGTCATAAAACATAAATTTATTAAGGTTTACATCAATATATCCGTTAAAATAATGGATCAAAGTTTATCATTATGACTGAAAAAAGTAAAAGATGACTAAATTAAAAGGAATGGAGGTAGTAAGTAATATTGACTCTTCCAAGTTAATTGAACTATGTTATACTCAGTATTTGAAAATAATGTCATAGTTAATCACACCTTAATTATATACTCCGTTTTAATTATACTCTCCCAAAACTTATTTGTAAAACAGTTTTGTTCATTCCCTTGATTAATAACATGACCATGAAATTTGGAGCCTTGATTAAAAACAGTATGCTCGAATCTTGGTGCCCTGTGTATTTTGGAGCCTTCGGCCAAGGAGGCCGAAGGCACCCCAGTGTGTATTTTGGGATTCTTTGAGGCTTGGGCCGCTGTATTTAGGCTTCGAATGTTTCTCGGGCTCAATGGGCATGTGTAGGAGAAGTGAGAGTCTATGGGCCGGGGATTCCTGGGCCATATAATCTATCAGGTTGCATAACTTGTTTTACCCCTATTTGATATTTGGGACAATTTTCCCATGCTAGTATTTAAGTGGGACTGTGAGAGATCAAAATCCTTGAATATACTTGGTACTACGTATAATTAATGTTACTCCCTCGGTACGTACATATGTACAAATGACGTAATTAAAATAAAAGCAATACTCTGTTGTATGATGATGACCAAAATGAAAAATTTATTTTGTTTACACTGTTACATTTTTTTAGATAATTTAATTTATCAATTTACATTTGAGTGCGTGTGTGCCCCTTAATTTTTTCAAGGGAATGAACAAAACTGTTTTACAAATAAGTTTTCTTGGGAGAGTATAATTAAAACGGAGTATATAATTAAGGTGTGATTAACTATGACATTATTAGTAGGTGACAATTCCGGTACCTTTTTTAAAATGGGATACCGTACCTATCATATATTTGATTGGACCACATCACTTTATCATTTTAATTTAGATTTAAGTAATTCAACTGCAACATTCTCATTGATCCATGTGGATACCATAGAATCTACCTTATTAGTATGGTGGGTAACACAATATTAACCGGATGTGTATTTTTATTTAGATGCAAGAACATGTACATGATTGCCATTAATATGAAAGCAATTTTCTCTACATTAATATATTCTTTTATTTTATACTTTTGAAAAAGTTGAAGGTCCAATGTGGATATATTTATATAGTATGGAGTAGTTGTCACGGGATCGTTTTATTATATACTTTTGAAAACTACGGTTAAGCTGCATTTATATGACTATATATATACAAGCTAAGAATAAAAATTTACAAATGTATATACCAGTGAGATGGAGGGACGCCAATATAGCTATGAGCATTATTGTTGCATTCAGCAACTGAGTTGGTGTGGTGCTAGCCATGACGACGACGGAATATAATGATAGAAAACTACGTACAATATAATACTCCTACAGCTTACTTGAATTAAATTGAAGTCGTTGCACTTATTTCAATTCCCACAATTTACTTGACCCTTTTATAGGGTGTGAATGGTTTAGAAGAGTACGTGAAACTACGGTGAAAGTTCGACTTCAGATAAGGTGTGCCCCACACACATAAACATACTGACATACCAAGTACGTACTATATTCGTACAATAATGCTTCGTACAATCAATAAATTGTGACAACTCCGATACCCATTTAAAAAATAGTGTATCATACTTATTTGATTGATCCAAATCATTATATTCTTTTTAATTTAGATTTAAATAATTCAAATGCATCGTTTTGATTGGTCCATGTGGACAAAGGTATGATACCTTTGATACCATACAATCTACCTAAATAAATATAGATTCAAATTTGATTCCATTGATACTTTCGCAGTACTTTACAGTGTTCACGCAGCAAAAGTCGAGGCTTAGAGAAAAGAGACATACACGTTTATAGAAAATAGAAATTCGTCGAACATAATTTACAGACATATACTCCCTCCGTCCCAATTTGTTTTGCAAAATTTCCTAATTTGGTTGTCCTAAAATGATTTTCCACTTTCTATTTTAGGTACGTAAATAAGAATAAAGTGACAAGGTTACCCTTACTTTTACTTTTTTCCCATCAACTTAAAAGCATCATGATGGCTAAAAGTGTAAAAAGCACACATCATTTATTATCATTCCTTAATCCTTGTGCCGGTCACAGTTTGCATTTCAAGAAGATCAGCAAGGCAGATCTTTTAGTTGTAATGTTTTAACTAATTATAATTAACAGTTTGCTGGTCAAACCAATTCTCCCTTTCTGATGATTGGTGAAGCCAGATCTTTTAGTTATAATTTTTTAATTTCTCATTGGAGTAGCAAGAAGATCAGCAAGGCAGTTAACCTAGACTATATTATTGCGGGGTTAGCGATCTGGAAGGATTCATTGAATCTGTTCCGTTCTACGTCTCATCCCATTGTAGCCTCAGGCTATTCATTCTCTTGTATTTTTGTTATCGCTTATTAATAAATTAGTTATTTGATTTTTTTAAAAAAATAATATAAATTAAGTGTTAGTTTATAATATTTTATTATTTCTTTTTCTATCTTTTATTTCCCTTTACGTTTTATTTGAATAATAAATCAAAAATATGCGACGGGCTTTTATTTTGAAAATATATATGAAACCAGATCAAATTGAACTAAATAGAATCTAGTAATTTTGTCATTGGTAAACTAAACCGTAACCCAACCGAATCGAAACCAATCGAAACCAAACCGAAACACATGCAATTGATTTTAGTTTGGTGCAATATCTCCTAAACCGAAACCGAACTGAAACCGATGATAATGAACCGTAAACCTACTTATCCACCCCTAATTTAAATAACTTAAACATTAAGAATACGTAGTAAAAATGAATATATTGAGTTTCAAAAATGAAAAATAAAAAATTTAAAAATCCATTTTGTGTTCAATGCTTCCTCATTCAGATTTATATCAAAATTTAATATTGTTAAGATAAAAGGAAGTATTCAGCACAAAATGATTTTTAATTTTTTTAATTTTTCAACACATTTTTTAATAATTCAGGGAAACCCGTAATTATATGTTAAACTTGTACATGTTTATTTTATGTTAACAATATTACAATGATATAAAATATTAAAATGAATCATTGAACACAAAATGAAATTATTTTATGTTTTTTTTTTATTTTTCAATCTCAAAACTTAATATAATTTTTTAATTTTTTTACATTTTTAAATATGTATTTTTTTTATTTTAAATTAGTGAGGATAAATTTTATCCTAAACTTGAATTTTAGTAAGATTTTCATACCTTTCAAAACATTAAAGATATACGTGCATAAAATCAGAGGTATATTTGTTCATACATTTCCCTTTTTAGAAATTCAATTCACACTGGTAAGATCATTATTTAGAAATTGCATTTATGCGCACAAAAAAAACTGGTAATTGTGTCCAAACAATTTATGAAATCACCAAAATTGCGCCCGTTATAAAAGTTAAGAGGCCATTTGTCAACACTAATTTTTGTTTTCGCTCACTGACTTGTATAATAAGCAGAAAAAGTAAGGTTAAAGTTACTTTTTTGGCTGTATTGGCTGAACTTGCTGTAGATAATCATTTTAGCTATTTTATATATAATTGTTTCTTTATTTTATTAACAAAATATATTTTAAAAATAATTTTTTCTTAAATCAAGAGAATCAGTCGAATGCTCTCAAGCAAATATGTACGCACGTGGCCGGTCTCATTTGAAAAAAGGAAGTCCCCATTGGCGGGCACTGCATGAAGCAGCCCCCCTTAATCCACTATCTACTTCCAATATTAATCATAACAATACAGACAAGAAACACCGGCTGAAAACCATGACCATAGCCCCTCGAATTCCCCAAAGTAGTCATCCTCCTTCACAAACATTATCCAGGAATTAAGTAATCTTTTTATGGTGAAATACTCACATGGCTAGTGGGTGTTTGTCTTCTATTTGGTGGGGATAATATGTGGGTCTAAGTTATGACAATCTGAAGATATCATTTGGACACTTACATATGTACACTCACATTAGTCACTCACATATATACACTTGAACTTATAAATTAAACCATATAGATTATGGCGTTTTTTAAATCATGCTTTTAAATTCATGAAGTTTTGAAGAAATTCTTTTGATTTGCATAAAGGGATATGGATTATGGAAAACATATACCCTTCAACTATGTGATAGAAAACATATAATACCCCTCATCTATTTTTGAGTACAATAATCTTGTAAAAGCAAACATAAGTGCCGAATATACCCTTTCCTTTAGGCCAGGGCCGTTGCCGTCAATTCCCTGTTAATGATATTTCTTGACATCTTCTATTCAGTATCATTTTTTTTCACAAATGGGTTTCTTAACCCACTTTATTATTTCTCTCTCAAATTATATAGATCAACTTGTTACGTAGTAATATAGCATGGCCGCATTTTCATGTCTAGAGAAGCTCATACAGCTTCATTAAAGAATATATTGTTATGAACATATAAAAGTGGGGGAGTGTTTTAGAAAGTTTAGGGACAAGAAATTAAAAAGGGCCTAATTTAAAAAAAATGTAAAATCATTTTCTATCTAAACTAACATGTACTATCCTTCATTCTTTAAGAATATTTTTACTTGAACTGTTTTCGATCCCAAATCAGACCAGACTTAAACAGACTAGATCAGACTAGACTTAAACAGATTAGACCTGACCCGACCATACTTGACTTCGGTAGTTATAAAATACACAGAGACCAAACATTTGCAAGACCAGACTAGACCAGACATAAACAAACCAGACCAGCAAATTACAGTCCAAGTAAAAACATTCTTAAAGTTGCAACAATTTGACTTTCACGTTAACCATCCACAACTTTGACTGTCATTACATTTAATTACATATTAGTAAAAATTAAATGCAGATAATATTTTGAAAGTTTACATTAATATAAAGTTAATAATATTCTTTCAGGAATGGGTGGTAGTGATAGGGCGGTTCGAGGAAATCCGAGAGGGCGCGGACCGGGGATAGCCGGGCAAGCCAATCGGGGGATATCAAGGTCGCGTAAAAGGCGAGGTATGGGCAACCAAGGCCCACAAACACGAGCTGCGATGGCTGATCACAATGTGACTGAATTCGAGTCGTGGAACTCGGAGGATGACTCAACTTATCAGCCTGAAAGTGAGTCTGAAGAAACTTCTTTTGAAGGAAACGATGGAGAGGATATGCACAGAATTCCTCCTGATCAGATTAGTGAGATGTACCGATGGTACCAGCGGGAAAGGGAAAGGCAACGACAGAGATCCCAGGTGGGACATGTCAGAGACGACACCTCTCGCAGGAGGGGTCGGGGTGCTCATAGAGTACAGGTTAAGACAATTAGAGATTCTGATGGTGAAGGACCATTCATTAAGATCTCAAAGTACCTCAAAGAGGCTAGGGCCTTGGGGTGCAAACCGTTTGATGGGACGGGGGACATATCGGAAGCAGCCGAGTGGATAAAAAGGTTAAATGATGCAGCTGATGACATGCAGGTGGTCCCTGAACGAAAGTTAAGGGTAGCCACTAGATTATTGGAGGGTTTAGCTTCTACTTGGTGGGAGGGCACCAAGGGTAAGTTTGACGGGGTTGTCACGTGGGACAACTTCGAGCAAGCATTTTATGAGCAGTTTTACACCTCTTTCGAAGTAAATCGAAAGAGGAGGGAATATATCGATCTCAAACAGGGAAATGAGTTTACGGTGAAGCAACTGGAACAAAGATTCCGACATCTGGCAAGGTTCTTGCCTGAGTATGCCGCAAATGAGAACCGAATGGCAAACCATTTTTGGAATGCACTCAATTTGGAAATACGCGAAAGAGCGACCTACCAATTCAACATGACTTTTAGTCAAGTAGTGGCCCAAGGTCTTCAGGGGGAGGAGCTTTGGAAGGAAAGGCAAGAAAGGGATGCAAAGGAAGCACAAGAAAGAGATCAAGTGATGATTCACCCTCCACGACGAGAGGGAAAATATGAACTTCAGAGCAAGGGGGACTCTAACAAGTTAGTTCCGTTTTTCAGTGAGAGTCAAAACTTGGTAAGTCAAAGCTCAAGCACTCGGGGCACGGGGGCACCCAAATGTGAGAATTGTAGGCGAAGGCACTACGGGAGATGTCGAGAGCCATCTAGATGTTACTTTTGTGGAGAAACAGGCCACATCAAGGTTCTTTGTCCTCAACGTACGCGTGAAGGAACATCAGGAGCTAGAGAAGGGGTCACGGGGGTTGAAAACCCAACTAGGGTTGCCTCAAACATGGTACCTTCTAAAAGTCAATGGCGAACTCGCTCGTAAAGGCCGAGAATGGCGGAAGCCATTTGTTAGGCCCGACCATGGCATAAGGTATTATTAAATTAAACCTTAATTTCCATAAATATTTTTATGTTCAAATTTTTTAGCTTCAGAAAATGAAGGGAGAAGCGTTTCTCAAGGTTGAGACGCTAATTTCGGGGACGAAATTCCTGTAAGGGGGGGTGAACTTGTAACACCGGACCCGAATTTTACCCAGATAAAATTTTTTTTCATAAAGTACTTGGTTAAAGAAGGTAAATCAAGACTAAGAGTAGTCTTGATAAATGAGAAAGTAAAAAAATTTTTGTCTTAAATTAATAAAGGGTTATTAATTTAAACGTGGGACCACACGTGGTATTTCAAGTTTATAAAATATTACTATTTTCCAAAACGATACTATTATGATAGTAGGAATGGGTCGTGGACCCCATTGTTATAAAGATCGACAACTGGACGGCCGAGCGGGCCAGGGCCACTATTCGATAGTGAGGAGTCCTTAATTATCGGACTGTCAATAATTCGTAGGACTACGAATTTATAACAGAAGAAATATAAACATGCTAAGAAACCAAAATAATGGGATGAATAATATTGATTAAATTGACATATTAGAGGTGGGTGCTTTTGGAGGACCCTACCTTGAAGATATTTTCGTATAAGAATAAACAGATAAGATGTTATCTGTTCATACAGTTCGGGCCACTTAAAAATAAGTGTAACATTTTATTAAAGTGTCACCAAATATGAAACCACATATTATGTAATGAGAAATGACGAGTGAATTTTCGAGGCAACGCGTTCTCATTTTTACTGTTACTTCAACAGTAAAATACACGTTGGGCCCACACGTGGGCGGCGACCATCCGATATTTGAGGACCACATAATATATTCATCTCGGTCTAGATACTATTTATATGATGGTGTAAATTAATGTTGAGCCATAAAGTTGGCCTTTCGATCAAACAAGGTCCCATTATCGGTATAGTTAGTTAATCAGATAACAGCCCGAAATAAATTCCGGGGACCATTAAATTGAAGTTGGGTAATATATATTCATTTTAGAGTCCAATATTAATTGGAAGAATGATATATATTTTACTTAACCCGATAAAATAAAATATAATTAAAACAGTCCAGAAAATACAACTTTCGGGACCAATTGTACACTTTGGGACATAAAGGGATGACCTCCCACATGGGTGGGGGCCACCCCACGACTTATGGTCTCAAATAAGTGAGGAGGACCATGTTGGAGAGCTGGAAATGAATTGAGATGATGGGGGGATTAATCAAGTCATCAAATGAACTTCTCCCCCACACCATTCACACATGAGAGACAACAAGGACATCTCACTCACCCACCCTCCTATTATTTCGGCCCTAGCATCAAGTAGGGAGGAAAGGAGTCTCAAAAACATCATCTCCACCAGCTCTACTCGAGCTAAGAACAAGGGGAAAGAAGGAAGCAAGAAGAGAGGAGGCTGCCAACCAGTTCGTACAATTTCAACCCTCGAGATTGTTCACTTCATATCTCACGCATCTCTTATCCAATAAGCTCGAGTAAGGTGTCATTAGATAGGTCTTGAAGAGAGCTTTCATACGAGGTGCTGCACTTAAGGATACGAGGTGTTTACAGCTCAAAAAGGGAAGATAAACACACGAGGTATAAATCTGGATTCTCAAAACAGTTTGTATTTGGTTTCTAGTTATTACCCAAAATTGTTTATAAACCCTATTAACGAATAAAGTGGATATCCTACACGATTATAAGTGTAGTATAAGACCTTAATATAGTAATTTAATCATCCAAAGGGTTGGCTAATAACCATGAACGGAGTTATGACCGGAGTAAGACCGGTTCACCGGAAAACACCTTCTCGGAAGGTTTTGATGTTTATACCACTTTTGGTTTATGAAACCTTGTTAGGTCTTTTACCAAGATATTATAGACTTCTCGAGGAATCTAGGAGTGGACGGAAAAGTCGCCGGAGCCGCCGGAGTTTTCGCCGGAAAATTCAAAAGTCGCCGGAGTTCGAACAAAGAAGATAAAAGCTTGCTAGCGTCATTTCAAGGTGAGTGGACGACTACGTGTCTTGTAACTCTTGGTTCAAACGTGGGATTACCTAAATAAAATCATAACCATGATTTGAGAAATGATGAAATGGATTAAAATGCATGATTAGTCATGGTGTATATGACTAATGAAAAAAAATAGATTAATTTATTAATTAATCATTAGTACGTAGTATATATTTCTTAATGCATAAGAGGATATACTTGAACCATGTATGAGATAAGCTCGAATAATCTAGTAAGTGAATATAAAAGGGTTGTAAAGTTGTGATTATCCATATTAAATATGGATTATGGAAGTGTTATATGATAAATAAAAAAATAGATTAATTTATTAATTAATCATGAGTATATTTTTCTTAAATGAATAAGAAGGTATACTTGAACCGTGTATGTGATTAACTAGAGTTATCTAGTAAAGGAATATAAAAAGATATGTGATATGTGAGTAGTCATATAAATTATGGATTATGGAAATATGGCATAATTAATGATTAATCAATTAATGGTATGAATAAAAGGTTGTAAGAAAGGATCATGAGCCATGATTTGGGCTTGGGCATGAGATTACTCAAATAAAACAGAATGATATTCCATGAAATGTTAAATACATCTAAGAATGTATTAAGGAAAGATTTACTTATTAATAGTATTAATAAGTGTATTTAATATGCTTTAATTTGGACAGAAAATGATTATAAATTATGTGTGATGATTTGGACGTCCAAAGTAATATTTTTGGACTAAGAATGACTTGTTGCATAAGCGTATAAAATTTCGTGGAAATCGGACCCCGTTTGGATGGTCAAACGGGCGTTGACCAAAATGTTGACCGGTTGCCCAGGGGGTAACCGGCGCCGGTTATAGGCAAAACCGGCGCCGGTTATGGTTCGGTTTACTCAAGAAAATCAGTAAACCGGCGCCGGTTATGGGTAAAACCGGCGCCGGTTATGTCTCGGCTTTCAGGACTGATTTTTGCTAAAAACCCAAATCGGACCCGGTTCGACGTGGGATTAATTCTGGTCATCCTATATATGAATATTTTGCATGGGATTGCATGAAATATGATGTTTAAAATGATAAGGCTTGGAATACGATTTAAACGCTAAGACTTGGACTAGTCGTTAGTAAAGAAATTATAGACCACGACCGGGCGAGGCACGTGGTAGATTATAAATGGCGGGTGAATACCCAGGACCAAGTAAGGTTATATAATACTCTGTAGGACCAGGAGGAGTCCTCTACACTCAAACGTTAACAAGGGCAAATGCAGTCCTTGAGGTGTGTTTAACCTCCATCAAATTGCATATAGGTAACAAGGGCAAATGCAGTCCTTGAGGTGTGTTTAACCTCCATCAAATTGCATATAGGTAACAAGGGCAAGTGCAGTCCTTGAGGTGTGTTTAACCTCCATCAAATTGCATATAGTTAACAAGGGCAAATGCAGTCCTTGAGGTGTGTTAACCTCCATCAAAGTGCATATAGGTAACAAGGGCCCGTGTAGTCCTTGAGGTGTGTTAACCTCCAGCAAATTACACATAGGATGAGGGTGTATGTGTACTCCTCAAGGCGGGGTTAGCCCCGGGAATGTAAACTATGATAGTAAGGACGGATAGTCCTCGAGGTAGGTGAACCTCAAGGTAATGATTTTAAATGATTAAACGTGCTTGATCGGGAACGAGTTTCCGATAGAATATTTTCCTTGGTCTAGGGATTGATTTAAACCATGTCTGGGATATGGGAGTCCGAAGGGCCCCACAGTAATTATATTTTAGTATCGAGTGAGCTAGCCTGCGGGTGACTCCACTCGAGGGTAAGGCATGGGGAGGATGAATTTAATGAGGCTGTTACCCCTAAATGATTTGAAAGACAAATGGGCCCACGGGCCAGATATTTTACTCATATGTATATATGTATACATTTTGTTTTGAAAAGGGGTAGCTAAGAGTTATGCCCATAATTATACTATCACCCTATTTTGAGGGTCTCGCGTGAGAAACGTTAGTTACATTACATACAGTTTGCCCTCACCAGTACTTTTCTGTAGTACTGATCCCTCGGGGGAACCACCCTTTCAGGTTGAAGCTAGAGCTTACTTCCTGCACCCGTTGCTCGGGAGATCGATGGAGAGAAGACGTGGTTCGTGCTTCCTCCGGTTCTATTTCTAAATAATTAAATAATGCTCATGGAACTATTTTGACTTATAAATTAATGGAGCCTGCGAGCTCTTGTTTTACCCTTGTGTGGGTTCTTATTAAACACTTATATTCCGCTATGTGTTTGATTGTATGTTGATGTTGTTATGTATGTTTACTAATCGGTTTTGGCATATGTATCTATCGGACGTCTTGTGCAATTCGGTAAGGATGAACTGCGGTTATTCTTATTGGATTGTACGACGGTTGTCCACGTGGCACAGACGCGGTCTGGGGCGTGACAAAATGTCTCTTATAAATAGAACCCAGCTCCATTGTATTCACAGGCCACTCATTCGAATGATACTCTAATTTTCACTCTATTTTGCTTACTTGGCATCTTTCTTGTTGTTCTTGTCATTTTCCTTACCGTTCTTGTATGAAACCAGCCAATCAATATACAATTTCCATTTTAATTAGTTTTAGCTTATCATAAAATTGCTAAAACAGCGAGGCGGCGGGGCTGGCGAGGCGAGGTGGCGGGTGAGAAGATATCGACGGTGATGGAGGAAAAAATAGCGAAGAACTCATATGGGAGAGCTCGATCGCTACTCTTCAGACTTCAATAGCCGGTGATGAATTGTGATTTAATTTTAACTATATTGAGGGCATAATGGTAATGTTTAGTCCTATTTAGGGTAAATAAAACATTAACTCCTATTTTGGAATTTTAACTATGTTTTGATCCTATTTAGGACAATTTCTTTAAATTAAAACAAGGATAAAATGCACAAATAAGACTACATGTATTTTATTCCTTGTATAAGACTTATTTGATCCTATTATATTAAAAGTATAAAGTTTCCCTATTGGAATGAATAAGTAATATTTTAAAACGAAAGTAATGATAGTTCTATATATGCACATTATTTATATTTTAGTCTTATACAAGTAATTTTCTCTTCAAATAAATATGTGCATGTATATATGTCCCATGCAAATATATTTATATTATGTGCATTGCACACCTGTACATCACACGGGTACCGGGGTACGATACTTATGTATCAAAAAAATAGAGGTAGATTCTATGGTACCCATAAGGTACCATACTTTTGTCCATATGGACCAATGGAAATGTAGCAGTTGAATTATTTAAATCTAAATTAAAAATAATAAAGTCATGTGGTCCAATCAAATGAATGATAGATACGGTACCCCATTTTTTAGAAGGGTACCGGAGTTGTCACCAAAAATAGAATAAGGATAGAGATAATACTCCGTACTACGGAGTAATTTTGTAGCTTCATAAATTACCGTGTTTGACTCTTTTTTATATTCAAATTATTGAACTTAACCTAAGTTTTAAAATAAAAAATATGTTGCGATGCAAATCAAAAAATTATACTTCCCGGTAAGTGTTTTAACACAAACACATTATACGGAATATATTTCTTGAATATTGTAAATAGTACGTTTACACTTCATGTAATACTCCGTATAGTAGTATAATTATAGATCATATCCATCTTATATAAACTATTGGACTTATTTCAGTACTAATTAAATCAAACAGCACTTAACTTATACTACGCAGTAATATTCTGTTATATACTTCTCTGAAAGTAAGTTTCTGATTCAAATTACTAATACTTTGTAAAACGAACTTTTGTTTTGACTTTTCAAGTTTATCTTTATTTTATGTTAGAAAAGCAAAAAAGTGAGTAAAAGGTAATAATAGTTACAACTTCTTACATTAAAGAGTCTCTTTTTAGATAAATGAAAACTTCATTTTTTTTTATCTGTAATAATCTCTTTTTACGTAAAAGAAAACTTCATTTCAAAATATTTATAATAATATAAAATATATGAAAGTGAAAACCTTTTGGAACGAAGTGAGAAACTCTGACTAATTCAAATTAGATTATTCTTGAACATACCACCAAATTAAAGCAGAACAACTTAAACTTGACTAGACGAGAATCATTTTAGTGGAATTGAAGTCATTCTTAGTTGTGCAAAGGAAAGCTAGGAGCCTAGGAAGAGCATTTTTATGGATCAGATGTGAGATAGGTAGTATGTAGCGAAATATTACTCTTGGGTAACAATCACAACAAACGCACATAATTCAAATCCAATAATAATTACGAAACAACAAACTATATTTGTACAAATCTTTATATACGGAGTAGCTTTTAGATGGAACCAATTGCGATTTTATTAACCCATCACATAAGAGGTACACCCAATAACACCTTATAACTGGAGCTTACAATAATCATTTTGATTAAACACTCCTTAATTACTAGCTATTCCAAGTAAGGGATACAACAGTTTTTGTTTTATTGACGTAAAGATCATTACAAAAAACCGAGATTGACATAAATTTTTGACAGAGATTCTCTAAAATTTATGACAAATCCATGTTCAAAACATGTTGGAACGAGCCATTTGGCATGAATTCATTGATCAATCTGTGTCAAATTGATGTCGATCCAGTAATTTTTTGTAGTGCATTATTAGTTTTTAAGTCTCTTGCAATTCAGTTAAAATTCATTGGGTATTTGAGTTGGGCGTTTGGAGTAAAAAGACCGAAATTGTTCTCCACCCCAGCAGGCTGCTTCTGATCTTCATCAAACATAGCAAATATGTAAGTCTCAATTTGTTGATTTGGTCTTTTGGGCGTTCCCTTCTTCACGACCTGAACCAAATTGTTGTTGTATATCCTTGCATTGTCGTAATTCGCCGGCCCTCCGCCGCCGCGGCTCGGCCAACCGGACTCTCCTCCCTTCACCGGCGGAACATACTTCCCGCCGGCCTTAACAGCACCGTATAACGGCGAAGTCGACGCTGCTCCGGCACCATTCAGAACCTTCTCCATCGCCGCATACATGGCATCGACAAACGCATAGTAAAGATTATCGTAGTACACCCCGCCGGCGGTGACGCCGCTGTTGGGCTGAAGCAGAGCATAATTGAGGTTGATCTGGCCGGAGTTGTCCACGTAGGAGAAATACGGGTATATGCTGACAAATAACGGCGACCCATTATCCGACAAGAACCGGATGATCGGGGCCAGGTACCCGACGACGTCTCCCCGGAAAACGCCGTTCTGGGGAGGATAAGCGTTTCCCAGAACGCCGGTGTCGACGGCGGTGGTGACTTTGATCTGTCCTGAGAGGCCGGCGGCGTTAATGGCGTTCTGTACGTTCTGCAAAGCGGGGAGTACGAAATTGGTGTACTGGCTGTTTTTGATGGGGGAGATTTCGTTGCCGACGACGATGTGTTTGAAGTTGACGGCGGGGAAGTAGCTCCGGACGTTGTCTTGGACCCACTGGTTGGCGTTGGCCTGGCTGCCGGCGACGTACTGGAGATCGTTGATGTTGGGAACGTTGACGGTGAGCTCGATGTTGGAGCCTCTGAGGGCGTCGAGGACAGGGTGGTATGGTTCGTAAATTCGCATTCTCTGGATGTTGTATTGCTTGTATAAGCTGACCACCGCTGCCGGAGATGGCAGGTTGTCGCCGTTTCTTCCGTAGTAAACTCCGATCTGGCCCACTGTAAAAATATTCACAATTACAACGTAGTAAATAAGTGAGGAAGAAATTGTTTTCAAAAAAAATGAGGAAGAACGTTTTGCCAAAAAAAGTGCTTATGAAATTGGCAACACTGTTTGAGGGGTAAATTTTTAAGAAATTTCTAACGTTTAGACTTTAGCGGGTGCATTTCTATACGATTGCCATTATTATGAAAGCATATTTCATCACATTCTTCTATTTTATACTCCCTCCGTTTCTATTTGTTTGACACACTTTCCTTTCTTTGGACGTTTCAAAATGAATGTCACACTTCTTTATTTTCTTATTTGGTAAACAAATCTTTACCTAAACAGTGCAAAACAGTGTCAAACAGTGTTCAAACAGTGTCAAACAGTGTTCAAACAGTGTCAAACAGTGTAGTCTACAGTGAAATTTACCCCTCAATAACTTTTTTTCCTTAAATCTTGACAAGTCAAACTGTGTAACCAAATAGAAAGGGAGGGAGTATATTTTGAAAAAGTGAAGGTCCAATGTTCATATAATATGGAAGTAGTTTTCACGGGATCGTTTTAGTGTATACTTTTGAAAATTGTCATGATATAATCTTAGATACTATCCCTTGTATTAATATACTTTACCGGCTGTTAGTTCCATTTTTACTTTCATAATAATCATAACAAGGCCTATTGATAAGAGAATGCTACATGCAAGGTCGCAAGGATAAACTAGTGCATCAAGAACAAAGATTATGATTTGTCATATTGAGTCAAACTCTGTTAATTTTGTCGGTTAGTTATTCCAAAATCATACTCCGTATGAAGTACGTTGTATTACTTTAATACATGAAAATAATATTCAATGCTTTATTTGAGACTGTATACCTTATGAAATGTTAATTTATTATACATTTTGAGAGTATATAAATATAAAATCTGAAATATAAACTGTCCAAGTAGGTCGAATTGAACAATGATTTTGGGGGTTTGAAAGTCTAAGTGTGAAAATATATAATGAACTTATGATGTTTTCTTTTGGACTGTTTTCAGTCCTAGACCTGACCAGACCAGATCAGACCAGATCAGACTTCCGTAGTTATAAAATACATAGGGATCAGACGTTTACCAAACCAGACCAGACCAGCAAAAGAAAACATCCTTACCCTGTTTAATGATATGTAAGGTGGTTTAAATAGGTTTTTATCATTTAAAATGTATAGCACGCATGTCCACACCTGATGAGGAATAAATTTCGCCCCGATCTCTAAAGACATTTAATTCATAATCTTTAATTTAATGTTAACGAAAAGAGTGTATATTTCATTTACACTGAGTAATCCATATACGTCGTACGAAGTAAATGGATGCATACACTCCAAATTGGACTTTTCCAAGTCAATCTTCGTCAAGTTCGACCATTGATGTTTTTATAATTGAACTTTATAATATAAAGGCAATTACTAAGGGTCGTTTTATCTTACGCACACTTTCGAAAATAACAGTCAAATATGGATGTTCAAGCATATTAAAAGTGAAATTAATGGAAATCTCGATTTTGATGGGAGGGTATTTAAAAAAATTGGAATTTAATCACAAGTTAAGAAATAGAGAGTGAGCTTAATCAAACCACTTTGAACTTATTTGGAGTTAATACGAAGTATTAAAACTAATAACCTGTGAGGTGGAGAGATGCCATCAAAGCTACGAGCAATATTGTTGCATTCCACAATTGAGCCTGTGTGGTTGTAGCCATGACGACGGAATGAAACCAATACGGAGTACTAATTAATTAGGTTGATGAATTGTAATCGTTGCACTTGTTTTTCCACAACGTAGTTAACCCTTTTATAGGAAGGGAGTGGTTCA